ATAATCGTATCTTATCTCTTACATAACACACTACACGTTTTATCAAATTTTGCAAACACAAAAACACACTTGAGCACACTTTTCTCCTCAGCTCAACTCTAAATTGACAGTGGGGGAGTGTGGGGGAGGGTGTGATAGAAATTGTTTGTCAAGCGGACTTCAAACATTGACATGGTCCTGACAAAAGTTTTAGAAGTTGCGAAATCACTGATCTCTATATAGTGAGAACGTCAACTTAAACATGAAAGTAATCGTTGCAGCGAATAAAGTATCCCGATGCAGTACATTCACTTGTGCCTACATGGGACGCCATGTTTTTAATTGAATGACGTTAAAGAAGAGAAAGCTATAACGAATCTTGAACTTGATTTATTTGGGATAACATTCAGTTATCGAAGCGGAGAAAGTATAACAAGACAAGCGTTTGATAAAGTCTACAGTGCTTGGACCAATGAATCGAGCAACGTCACCACAGGCCCTGCCACTATCACCGCCCTTACATCACCACACCTACACACGTCCTATCGCCTACACACGCCCTATCACCTACACATGCCCTATGACATAGACACACCTAATCACATACACACACCTTATGACATACACACACCCTATGACAGACACACACTCTATCACCTACACACGCCCTATCGCCTACACACACTCTATCACCTACACACGCCCTATGACATGCATACACCCTATGACAGACACACACTCTATCACCTACACACGCCCTATCGCCTACACACGCCCTATCACCTACACACGCCCTATGACATAGACACACCCAATCACATACACACACCCTATGAGATACACACACCCTATGACAGACACACACTCTATCACCTACACACGCCCTATCGCCTACACACGCCCTATCACCTACACACGCCCTATCACCTACACACGCCCTATCACCTACACACGCCCTATCACCTACACACGCCCTATCACCTACACACGCCCTATCACCTACACACGCCCTATCACCTACACACGCCCTATCACCTACACACGCCCTATCACCTACACACGCCCTATCACCTACACACGCCCTATCACCTACACACGCCCTATCACCTACACACGCCCTGTCACCTACACACGCCCTGTCACCTACACACGCCCTGTCACCTACACACGCCCTATCACCTACAAACGCCCTATCGCCTTCAAGCCCCCTAAACGCCAATAGAAACTTCTCACACTTTCTCACCATAAGATTTCAACACACCAACCACCATAAGACTTCAACACACCAACCACCATAAGACTTCAACACACCAACCACCATAAGACTTCAACACACCAACCACCATAAGACTTCAACACACCAACCACCATAAGACTTCAACACACCAACCATTCTATATGTTACACAAGATGAAACCCATGTGACCTGAGACCATAGACCTGAGACCGGAGACCTGAGACCTGAGACCTGCAAACCCCTTTATCTTTTGTAGAGTTGCCTCCTTTGCCAATTGTAACGACACTTGCCCCACCTCCACCACCTTTTTTTTTTTTCATTGATAAACTACTCCCGACCACCACAACACCCACCCCATTAACATTGTCAAAGTTGTTACTTAACTTGTTATTACCTAAAGGTAATTAAATTCCCTCACACATTCAATTTCTTTCCTCTTTTTTTTTCTAATGAGGAAAAACCTAGTAATGAGAAGAGTGAATTGAATGGAAGCTGTTACTTGGCCGTGGGTGCTGGTGAATCATGCACGTTTGTGTAGACGCAGTTCCCGTACTATTTATCCTATAGACCTGCAACTTCAACCGCAAAGATCCTTACAACTGTAGAGCTTAGCAATTTTTTGCAATTAAGAACCTGTCGCGTCAGTTTTTTAAAAATATTTTTGTTGTTGTATTCATGGCATTGTCAATGATAGGTCTATTTGAAGACGACCTAGGAGTCGGCATGGGCTGGGTTCCCCCAAAAAACTTGAATTATTGTGATTGAGATTATAGAAGATATTGAGTTGAAACTACCTTCAAATGATTCAATAGGCAACAAGATATTTGTGTAGTTTCAATCAATAGAGAATGGAATATCAGCAGCGAACATGGCGCCGTGCCCTGCCAACCGTGGTTGTTTTATGGAAGATGGCAAGCCCATGAGATAGTACGTGGACGGAGCTTTTAAGCGAGGTCGTTGCTAGAAGTGATGATGTAGGCGCAAATTTAATACTTAACTGACTTAAAAAATAAATCTGCCGGAATGTATAAGTCAAAAGAGAGAATGGCAACGTGTCAGTTTTTATGAAATCGTTTTTAAAAAAATGAAAAATTAATCAATCACTTCACACCCCACTGTATTTTGTACCTCCATTCCACTGAGATAATCTCCCTTGCTCACAACATTTATTATTTAGACTTGGTTGTCACGGTAACCGTGGCTCCTAAATCGAGTCACAAATTATAAGACTAAATGCCACATCAAAGTATTGGACAATTTCGACTTTGTGTTGCCCACTACCTTTAAAAGCCCCGACTTAGTCCCATGACGTCACGAATGTGGTAGCTAAATATGTAGAGAGAAAGAGAAGATAACCTAGACCATTGCCAGCCCGCTTACACAGTTTCGATATTAAACACGAAGTCGAAAGATCAATACGACTTCAACAAACATGACCGATTGTAAGGTTAAAACTCCACTCACTTTGTAAAACGTATGTTGTACGTACCCTCACTTATACGAGCATGGGGGCGGGGGGGGGGTACCACGAAGTGAGACATTCTGCGCCCCCCCTCCCCCATCCCCAAAGCCACAGCACAGTGTTACACTCCAGGTAATTTCTCGAGTGTTGTCACATTTCGATTTTCGGGCGTGCAGCTGAGCGCAGCGGCTGTTGGAATAGACGAGATCTATTTGGAGCATATCGAGTGGACAACATTTAGGGTGAGTTTTAGGTACAATGTTTACCGGTCGTTTTCTGAAGGGATCACTTTATGAGTTTATTACCAGTGTGTTAAACATTGGAAGCTCTAAGACAATCAGGGCGTCGCCTGGCCATCAGGGCGTTACCTGGTCATCAGGATGTCATTGGCCATCAGGACGTCATTGGGCATCAGGGTGTCATCTGGCCATCGGAGGGTAACCTGTTAGGCATTCGTTTATATGGTGGATTGTTTTTGTCGTACTAAGGGATTCATTAACACAACATACGTCGTGCATTATATGCTCAGTATATTCTTGCCTGAAGCTGACCCTAGTGCAATCTGCAACCAGTAGCGGTATTGACCCTTCAAAAATGTTCCCACTTTCTTGGAGCAGGTCTAATGAACATTGAGTTTCTTTTGGTATCGATCCTAAAGTTAATTTAGTTTACTCCACACTTACTTACCGGCGGTTGATGTCAACCACACCCTTACTCACTGTGTCCCGACACATTTGACCATGTCTTCAAACATATGACAGCGTCTCTGACCTTTCATTGTGTTCTATTCCCACTACCCTATGTGTTCCACTCCCTCTAGCCTATGTGTTCCATTCCCACTACCCTATGTGTTCCATTCCCACTAGCCTATGTGTTCCATTCCCACTACCCTATGTGATCCATTCCCACTACCCTATGTGTTCCACTCCCACTAGCCTATTTGTTCCATTCCCACTAGCCTATGTGTTCCATTCCCACTAGCCTATGTGTTCCATTCCCACTACCCTATGTGTTCCATTCCCACTACCCTATGTGTTCCACTCCCACTAGCCTATGTGTTCCATTCCCACTAGCCTATGTGTTCCATTCCCACTACCCTATGTGTTCCATTCCCACTACCCTATGTGTTCCATTCCCACTACCATATGTGTTCCATTCCCACTATCCTATGTGTTCCATTCCCACTACCCTATGTGTTCTATTCACACTACCCCATCGATGTGATCTTATTTCATAATCTACACAACCAAGCGTGATGTGCCATTGCCATGACCTCCTTCGGTCCAATGTGAAATGTATGTTTGAATTGTGCCAAGCGTGTTTCAAAGTCTGTGTTTAATGTATTTTTTATGTTCTCGGAAGACAACCATAACAAAAGCCCCGAGTCAGTTAAAAACTGGTTTGACAAATCCTATTATATATAGCAAGCCTTCTTCTCGCAGTGCACAAACAGAAGACTCTTCGTGTGCTGAATGTGGGGACTCTCAGTGGAGACATTTTATTCAATAACAAAAAAGGACAATTGAAAGAAACACAACGGGATTCACAAAGTACATGGATGCAGCAACGTACGCTATCAGATAAAAGGGGCCTTCTTAAATTGATTTCACCTTACAGTACTTGCATTTGACACGACAGCTGTACCACAGTTTATTAAACTTGGTCAAACTTATCTGTTAAACCTAATGTGAACACACCCTGCCCCAAACCTGTAGCTTGACACATTTTGTCCAGGTTTTTTTCGGTGCTGGGGATGTATTTTTGCAGAACTTTATAAGGCAGTGACTTCGTCCCCCTACCAGGGTGGGGGGGGGGTAGAGATTTAGGATGAAAATATGGTCACCTGGGCGGCCTATAATCGTAGAGCAGTTTAAAAACTGCCACATGTTCTTAAACTCTACTTATCAAACTACCACATCTTCATAAGGCTTAAAATAGTACATATCAAAATGCTTCCTTCTTGGTCTTCGCTCTACATTGATATGCAACAATGTCATAAATCATGACGTCATGGCATCGTTGATGTGTTACCAAGATTTATCTTTTGAAAAGTTTTTTTTTTTTTTTTTTCCTCAGAGACGTTCAATATTTGCATAAGGGGGATTCGAAATATGGTCTATATTTTATTTTGTGTACCGGGGGAGTGTTGGTGCAATATCATGTCTAGTGGGGGTGGTGGTGCAGTACCAAGACGTCATGGCATCGTTGATGTGTTACCAAGATTTATCTTTTGAAAAGTTTTTTTTTTTTTTTATCCTCAGAGACGTTCAATATTTGCATAAGGGAGATTCGAAATATGGTCTATATTTTATTTTGTGTACCGTGGGAGTGTTGGTGCAATATCATGTCTAGTGGGAGTGGTGGTGCAGTACCATGTCTAGATACGAGCGTTTAGTCAGGAAGGGGCTGTCAAAATTCTGGTGGAGATAGTTATTTCCACAAGATTATCATCAGTAGAACCAGGCAGATTTTGACATAGTTTAATGAATTTCTGAGATCGGGGCAAAGTATTTGTGTGAACGAGTGAGATAAACCTGAGGTAATCAGCATTGCACAATAAGTGTTTGAGACCCCCTTGGCTGAAGAAAGTAGCCGGCCTCTTTTTTCTTAATTTCAATTTCTTCTAACTTATCTGCTGTCAAGTTGTGACCTTTCATGACAAGGTAGTCTACGGATTGTTTTGACAATAATTAAGCAAAGAAAGAAAAAAAAAACAGACATTATTTACCGGTGTCTAGAATTTCTGTCTGATTAATCATTTTTTTAAACAATTTGTGATTTCTGATTCTCGATTAGACTTTCTGACTGATTTTTAGTTGTATAAAAATGTGTTGTTTCTGCTACTAAACTATAATTTCTGTCTGATTTATCATTTCATTACAATTTGTGGTTTCTGATGCTAAAAGATTTGGCTTTTCGTAAAGAAGTTGATCAATTTAAAAGATGGGCAGGCGGTGTCCTGGAGACGTTTTATTTCTTCAAATCCCCCAAAAAAACCTCTTAGTGTGTTCGTCCTTCATTATTCTCTTTTGGTTTCAAGGACTGGTAGATAGCACAGCGTCATCGTCGCGTGTCAGTGTCAGAGATCGGAATTCGGATAAAACATTCACACCTCAAGTGGTTAAGACATGCACACCTCAAGTGGCTAAAACATGCACACCTCAAGTGGTTAAGACATTCACACCTCAAATGGTTAAGACATTCACGCTTCAAGTGGTTAAGACATGCACACCTCAAGTGGTTAAGACATTCAGACCTCAAGTGGTTAAGACACGCACACTTCAAGTGGTTAAGACACGCACACCTCAAGTGGTTAAGACATACACAAATCAAGTACTTGAAACATGCACGCCTCCAGTGGTTAAGACATGCACGCCTCACGTGGATTAAGACATGCACACCTCAAGTGGTTCATACATCCACACGTCAAGTGGTTAAGACATGCACACCTCAAGTGGTTAAGACATGCACACCTAAAGTAATTGAGACATGCACACCATAAATAGTTGAGACATGAACACCTCAAGTGGTTAAGTAGAACACAACTCAAGTACCTCAAGTATTTGAAACATGCACGCCTCCAGTGGTTAAGACATGCACACCTCAAGTGGTTAAGACATGCACACCTCAAGTGGTTCAGACATGCACACCTCAAGTGGTTAAGACACACACACCTCAAGTGTTTGGGATGCGTTAATGTAAAGTAGGCTATATATTCTCAAAGTGGTATGTTATACAGTACAATTAAGCATTAGAAATGTGGCGTTGGAATAGCGTCAAGGAGTAAGGTTTAGGGTTTGTGAATGGTGTTTAACCATTCCATTGTTATTTCTTTTAAACACGACAGCATCATTCCAAATCTTCTGATTGATAATTCCTGGTGGTCACCCGGGCACTTCTACGAATTCGTAGCAAACCTAATGTGTATATGTGTGTGTGTGTGGGGGGGGGGGGGTTCCGGAAATCGGAATTTTCCATGTTTTTTTGTTACTCCTTTGTGATGTTATTTACTGGGTTTTTAGTTTTTTTTATGATTAATTATAATGTATGTCTCACAAGTCAAATCCTCGCTGGGTGCGTGTGATTTTAAAGGGATAGGTTAATTTTGACGAATGTTCACTTGGAGGTCGTGGGGGTTCCGGAAATCGGAATATTCCATGTTATTTTGTTACTCCTATGTGATGTTACTTACTGGGTCTATAGTTTTTTTTAGTTATGCCTATGTCATGTTGCATACTGGTTCGATAGTTTTTGTTACGCCTGTGTCATGTTACATACTGGGTCAAAGGTTTTGTTACGCCTATGTCATGTTACATCCTGGGTTTATCACGTTTCTGAACACGTTATGACTTAAACTAACACTAGAACGTGGAAATGACTTGAAATAACCTCCAACTAAACTGTTGTTTGATGAATGATGACATGGGTAAATACAAGACGCAATGGGTTGTAATCCTATTATGGTGGTCTTTCTTTCCATAACACCGCTAATGTATTGGCTTCTATTGTATTTACTTGCTCTTTTTTGTTGACATGACCCATGGACGTTTGCAGACAACCTGCACGGGAAAAAAATGTTAACAAATCGGATTAACTACATTTTCATTATTTTTCCACTTTTAAAATTTATTTTGTTTTTGAAATGTCTGTAAATAAATCAAATTCATTTTAGTGACAAATGCAATTACATTTTATAAACTTATTGTTAATAGCCTACATGTTACGGGATTTGGCCATTTTTTGGTAACTTGGCTTCTTTTAATAAAGAATGACCCACATCCGGCATTGGTTGAAACGGAATTAGGACATGGGAGGGGAAATAATCGATCACGTCTTTCAATATAGGGCAATTCAAGTCATGAAGTTCAAGTCATGAAATACAAGTCATAAGTCTAAGGGGGTCACAGTCGAATCAATGATATCATTTCCCCATCATTGGGATACCAAGATAATATTTCTTCACTACAGTCATCGCTTGCTATCGTTGAGGAGCCATGCCATAAATCTGCTGTGTATCTTCTATTGACCCTCCAACTACGACAATGTTCTAGGATCTGACTATTCTATAACACGACGGTGTATTTTGAACAAAATGGAAGCAAGATTACACTTGAACATTCTGTCTGAGACGATGGGGTTGAGAGTTTAATGACTTTCCCATAAGGGTAACCCATGAAATACTAATAGAGACAGGAATAAACATAAACCCTGCACAATTATTACATAACGTACCCTTAAAATGATTATATAACATACCCTGTGCAATGATTACATAAAATAGCCTAAACAATTATTTTACAACATACCCTGTGCAATGATTCGATAACATACAATGATGGCATGATCTTATGTTTATGTTTTCCTCTTTTAAAGAAGTTCGCGTGCTTCACCGCGTGCGACCTCGGTCATGCCAATCAATATTAGAACAAGAGGGTTGGGGGGGGGGGGGTTCATGGGGGGGGGGGGTTCATGTGCTGTTGCGTGCGGCCAGAGATAAGAGAATCCCAGGACAAGAAGAAATATTTCATTGGAGTGAAAAGGTTGGTGTTAACAGGATACCGGCAGCTTAGCGGAGTCGTTCACTTAACCGACTCTTGTTATAGGAGTTTGATGCCAGGGTAAGACGCCATCTTGGGACGGATTTATAGTGACCAGCAAGTATAAATAATGCAATATATTTTAATTTTATTTAATGTCTTTTTGTTGGTATTGTGAATGCCTTGCTTAAAGATAGATTTAAAGACGTGTTTAAGACTGGCGGTACAGCCGTGTCCTAGAGCAGCTTTCAGAAACAGGCAATAAATCTCAGTAACACAAATGGGTTTAATGACAGCATGTTTTATAACTGCTGGAAGATCAACGCTTCTGTGACGGATGCACAATGTTACCCAAAGAATTAGCGTCCTACATTTCTAATATATTCATCTACGTCCCCATTCTGACTGCGAGAAAATGTCATAATCCCTTGCCATTGAACTTACACTTCTATAATAAGGACGTCGAACTGGTTTCCTTGTGTTGGTGGTCCTAACGCGCATGTTCTTCTCAAGAAGGCAGATGTTTGATGGGTATATTATATTTTACCATTATAGTTGTTTTCTTAATATTTGCTGAAACTATATTTCTATTATTATTATTAGAATTTGAAGATTTTATTTACACTAAATGGTTTTTTTAGAATGCCCCCCCTCCCCCCTTTTTGGGGGTAAATACAAGCCAAACAAACCAAAGTGATCAACATGGTCGTTGAAGTAATGATTATGTGATTCGTAGAAATGACAGCAGGAACAGGTTGAAATTTTGTCAATTTTGAGTCGGATAAACGCCAGGTCCAGTACGATCCAGGGAGACACTTTTACTTCTAGCCTAATTGCTAAAATCGACCAAGAGCTCAACTAAATACGTCAAATTTGGCTCATATTTTGAGTAGCCATTATTAGAGTGTATTGTATAGATCACTATGATAAGTTCCCCCACTAATATTTCAAAATATTTGTTTACATTATGTCCGAAGTTTGTAGTGGGACTATAACTTGTGAGTAAGAGTTGATTTCAATGGAACCATATTAAACTTGGTGCAATGATTGTAGCAATCATTTTAACAAAGCCACAGTGAGGCTCTCATTTTGATTGAGCAATCATTTAACCGAAGCCATAGTGAGGCTCTCATTTTGATTGAACAATCATTTTACCGAAGCCATAGTGAGGCTATCACTTTGATTGAACAATCATTTTACCGAAGCCATAGTGAGGCTCTCACTTTGATTGAACAATCATTTTACCGAAGCCATAGTGAGGCTCTCACTTTGATTGAAAAATCATTTTACCGAAGCCATAGTGAGGCTCTCACTTTGATTGAACAATCCTTTTAACGAAGCCATATTATGGCGCCCAATTTGATTGAATGATAAAATGACGGGCGTTTCAGCACCCGTTTGGCAACGACTCCAGTTTTTTGTTCAAGTCATTTCTCTTTGGCGTCACTAAAATGTAGAACGACGCCTTTTTATCCTATCAAGCAACGTGAGGTAAACTTGACTTTGTTAAACGTGTGGTAAACTTGACTTTGTTAAACGTGAGGTAAACTTGACTTTGTTAAACGTGAGGTAAACTTGACTTTGTTAAACGTGAGGTAAATTTGACTTTGTTAAACGTGAGGTAAACTTGACTTTGTTAAACGTGAGGTAAACTTGACTTTGTTAAACGTGAGGTAAACTTGACTTTGTTAAACGTGAGGTAAACTTGACTTTGTTAAACGTGAGGTAAACTTGACTTTGTTAAACGTGAGGTAAACTTGACTTTGTTAAACGTGAGGTAAACTTGACTTTGTTAAACGTGAGGTAAACTTGACTTTGTTAAACGTGAGGTAAACTTGACTTTGTTTAACGTGAGGTAAACTTGACTTTGTTAAACGTGAGGTAAACTTGACTTTGTTAAACGTGAGGTAAACTTGACTTTGTTAAACGTGAGGTAAACTTGACTTTGTTAAACGTGAGGTAAACTTGACTTTGTTAACTTCTGAAATGTGTAGTTCTTTTATTTAAAAACGTGCTGTGTTAAAATGCCATGACCCGAAGAAAACTTTCCACAAAATGATTCCGTGAATCCCATTCAAACCGTGATCAGAAATCAAGGACAATGGAGACCATGGACGCCTCAACTCTTAACGTGCTTTATTTTACAAACAATGAAGAAAGCAGATTCTCTTGTCCACATTCAATTCTGCAATCTAAAGTTCTTTATGACTAACTGTATGACTGACTGTATGACTGACTGTATGACTGACTGTATGACTGACTGTATGACTGACTGACTGTATGACTGACTGTATGACTGACTGTATGACTGACTGTATGACTGACTGTATGACTGACTGTATGACTGAATGTCTTCAACTATTCCTATGAAACACTGAAATGAAAGCCCACCGTTTTTGTTTCATTTCATTTGAACGACCACACTGTTGGATTGTATGCCAAGGAAAATTATTGATGCATATAACCATGGTGATTGGAATATTGGGATCCCATGGTCTGATGTACGTTGATTTAGCTCTCCTGTCCTGGCTGGCAACTAAACCGGACCATCAGTTTAGTAGGGCGTGGCACACCGCGTCGTGCCATCCTTATCAAGAGATCAGTTTTTGCTGGGGAAAGTGTGGGGCTGGAGGGGGGGGGGTGGGTCTGGGGGTGGGAAGGGGGAGCTTGGGTCTGGGGGTGGGGGGGGGGTGGGTNACGGACTGATGTTAACCCTCTTTCTCTTAACTCACGGACTGATGTTAACCCTCTTTCTCTTAACTCACGGACTGATGTTAACCCTCTTTCTCTTAACTCACGGACTGATGTTAACCCTCTTTCTCTTAACTCACGGACTGATGTTAACCCTCTTTCTCTTAACTCACGGACTGATGTTAACCCTCTTTCTCTTAACTCACGGACTGATGTTAACCCTCTTTCTCTTAACTCACGGACTGATGTTAACCCTCTTTCTCTTAACTCACGGACTGATGTTAACCCTCTTTCTCTTAACTCACGGACTGATGTTAACCCTCTTTCTCTTAACTCACGGACTGATGTTAACCCTCTTTCTCTTAACTCACGGACTGATATTAACCCTCTTTCTCTTAACTCACGGACTGATAAAATTTGTACAGTACCGCACTTCCTTTTGATTTCAAAATATATTACCTGCACCCTCATGTTTAAAAAATCTTATTTCTTTTTCTGGGTCATCATGACACTGCCTCCGCAGCCCTAGTTAAGAGTTCATGTCTTAAATTCAAATGGACTGTATTTGTTCAAATATTTCTGTTCGGGTCGTTTATATCTAAAATTCAAGGAGTGCTTTTGAGTTGAAATTAAGTGAACAGTTCTATTGTTAAGTCTCAAGGGGCCCTTTAACCTCTAAAATTTGGTGAATCTTCCATTTGCCTGTTAGTTCTAAAAAACAAATAATATACATATTTTAAAAAATAAAATCAGTAGCTAAAACGAAATTGCGCCCCATTGAATACTTTTTTAAAAAATTTATAAAGTTATCCACGAAACAATAAATTCTGATGCTGGAAAATAAACATGCTTGGCTAAATTGTATTCACTAATTAGTCACAATCTGCGAACATTATCCCACTATATATTTCGTATCAGAAATCTTTTCTGGCTTAAGACTTAAATTAACCATTTCGTGTAACTAGACCGTGAGTGATTCACCAACAGTTACTGGACTGTCTTTTTGTATCAAATGAATGACTCAAGCACAGTTCACCGACAGACTTCATTTAATCTCAGCTCAATGAATGTGTCATTAGGTCAGGTTGAACTATTTCCCCAGTGTTTGGGTTCGTATTTGATCCCCGATTGATTAATGGGGATAGCATCTGCTTTGTCGAGCGGAATAACGTCCAATCCCATTCATTATAGACAAGTTGAGTCAAAGCCAACTCAAACAAATTTAAAGCTTGTAATGGTCAAACTAAATGAACTGTATTTTGTATAGATGGTCAACAAATTGAACCTTATTGATGCTCAGCCCATTCTTCTGACTCGTTAAATACGTAACATTCTGTTTATGATGCTCCTCGCGCCCTTCTTTATCTAAAACCTCCGTGTTGTAGGCCTACATATTTTTTTTTCTGTCAACACTTCATCATAGTTTTAAAGTTAAAGCACCCCAACAGTCATCGCATTCAAAGCCTGTTTTCACGGAGGTGAACACACGTTTCACAGTTTATGAATGTCAACACATCCCTTCCCAATGGCAGTTACAACAAGTTGTGTTTAAGTAAGTGTTAAGCCCTTCCTCCTTGGCTGTATCATCCACCCACCCCGCCCATCACCTTCGGTACACACGGAGAAATTTCTGTTCACATCAGTGATGCTATTGATTTTTTTCCGCCTTGAAATTCCTCCGTACACACGACGTACACAGGACAGACTCAAATTGGTTACTGCAACTACTAACAGTGTTAAAAGCGGTGTGTTCATTTGTAACTACTTCGACTTCTGTGAGGTTGTTATTGTTATTAAATTATGTTAGACCTATCATTGTTTGACGTTTAGCTAACGACACGTTTAAAGTTCTTCTTGTCTAAAAGGAAAATACTTGACGAAATTTGTTTGATAAAAAAAATATTGAAAACTTTAGAGGCTTCTGTGAGACAGTTTTAAAGGATACATCTAAAGTACCTTATCTTATTTTTTTTAAAAACAAAATTCGACTAGGTTCTCCCCCCTTCCCAAAAATGGATTAGTGTCTTGAAAATGTAGACTGTACTTGGATAATGCCGATGGCAGGAATACTACTTCGAGACAATTTTAATAATCCTAATATAAACTTTGAAATTTTCCCTCATTATGAAATGTTAAAAAATATGTCTTTAATACCTATACATAATTAAACGAAATATTTACAGTTATCATATTTTAATTATTAAATTTATATATTTTTTGTATAAATCATTGATGTAGCTAGTTATCAATGACATGGAACATTATTACAAGCAAATAGATTTACGTTGCCACATTTGAAACATGTTCAACTGATCTTCAGTTGAAGTTCGGAAACTGGTTGTTTTTATTGGCATATTACAGTGAATGCATATTTCAGGATGTTCCTATTTTGACGCTAACGATTTTGTTATCTTCAAATGTTCACAATGTTGACATTTTCAGATATTTATAATATAGACGTCTTCACTTCACATATTCATACTGATGTGTCCTCCTTCAGATATTTTTACTGATGTGTCCTTCAAATATTCACACTGATGAGTCTTCCTTCATATATTCAAACTGATATTACACAACTTATATCTGGTGTTTGCATATTATGTTTTATTAGATTATTCTGGTAAAATGAAAAGCTAACCAATCAACTACATCAATTTATTTAATAAATTTAACCCTATTCTTATGTCTGTATCATTACCGTTGCATCCATTTCATCTTCACCCAAACTTCTCTCCCGGTGTTATGAATCATGTTTTAAAAAGATTTGATATGCAATTGAAAGCATCAGTTTTTATTATTTTTTTTTTAATCTCCAGGTACATCCAGTTGTTTTCAGGTGGAATAATAATAATATACAGCTGTTAATTTTAACATCAAACGCCATGTCAGGTGAGGGACAGATCTATACTTGGAATTGTAAACATTTCCTGTCATAACAATAACATAATTGCTCAAATAGTTATGCGTCCCTAATAAGCATGAACCTGTCAATCAATGCCATTCTAAGGATGGAAACAACAGTCACATCTCTAATAGATTACATGGAATGTTTTTCATTATATTTCTTGAACCAAAGAAACGAGTTAAAAACTGAATACAACGAGCTTTTAGCATTGTAGGCCACTATAAAACAATGCTTTCTGGGGCACCCTCTGTCAATCTTCCAAGAGATCTCTAATGAACAATATAGATGCATGGCGCTCCTAGAAATGTTTAACTATAGGTACATTACACATTCTCCCTATGCTAAAAGATAGTGCTACAAGCATGCAATCCTGAATAAATCATGTCTAATTAACTATATTATGTACAGCATACTGTTACAATAGCTCTGTTTGATTTATTTTTAGTTAATCTATTAATACATTACTATACCAGGACTTGTCAAAGCAAAGAAGTATGACTGGAAAGATTCTAATATGGCGTTGTTTGGCTCAGACACAGAAAAAAATGTCAAAAGTAAGTCTGGTTCTGATGCAGATTAAATAAACACATTCATAGCTTTATAAGAACAATAACTGTGAAGCATTAAGATTTGTCTAGCAATTTTCCAAACAATATTATTAAATACTCCTCAATTTTAATGTTTGGACTATAGAACTATCACTTAAAGTTTTGCATATCTCAACTTTCACTATTTCAAAACAAAAACACACTACAATTTCCCTTGTACCATTATATTCTATGGTTGCATTCTACCATGTGATTCTGTTGTATTCTATAATTGTATTATGATTCTCCATTCTAGGATTACATTCTTTTATTGCAATCTACTGTTACACCTGTTTACTGAATTCAATTTCCCTTTTAAATTATTTGCATTGCCAGATATTTTCCAGAACACAAACAGGCATGCAACATCTCTTAGATGAAGATTTATTCCTTTGATTAAGAAAAGCAGTCATAAAGATATAGAAAAATTAATTAATTGATTCAGTAATAATTGAGAGTTTACCAGAGCTGACTGCTATTAGCAGCTACTTTGTAATGTTTTTAGCCTACTTGGCACATAACTTGTGTAAAACTGAACTTAAAGTAATGTCAACTTTTGCTGATCCACTTGTCTTTATGTTGCTGATGTATAACATCCTCTCAAATAGTCTTGCAAGCAAAATGTTTTTTGATTAATTCAGAATGACGTCACTCCTAAGAGAATATTTAGTGTTTGTTATTTTATTGGCAAAGCAATGAACAATTTTGAAATGAAGTGTTAAATGGCAAGTCAATAATTTTGCTCACACACGAACCAAGCAAAAGTGTGAAGGAAAATTTGATTGAGAATGTTAGAGGCTATAACTTTTATATTGCTAATTTGTGGGTTTAAATAAGAGAGGAATCAACCAAGACTGAGAATGTTGGAGGCTCTAGGTGACTATTAAAATGTTAATTTGTTTTTTTTGTTTAACAGAGGAATCAGCCAAGACTGAGCCAGCCTGGAAGGTAGCTGGTAAAGAGATTGGTGTCCAGGTCTGGAGGATAGTGGTATGTTGGACTTCATGATAGAAATGTTGTACAGTTGATCCATGACTTAAATAGCTGTAGTCTTGTCATTCTACTGATTTGTAGTTCTGTTTTAAGTGTATTGACAAAGTAAGCCAAAACTACAGAACTCAACTATTTTTTTTTAATGTTTGGCACTTATTAATAACACAGCATGTCAACATTAAATTTAATTTAAGGCCTTTGAATATAAGAGAAGATTTAAATTTAATCTTGATTAATTTGTGTTGTAGAGATAGAAGGGGATTTGGAGAGGGTGGGGCCAGGGGCTGACTTACCACCATGTTGAAAAATATAGATTTACTTTTAACCGCCACCTAGGTTGTCTGCATAGACCTATATGAAAAAGATAATAAGTGTTTTTCGAAAATCCTTTAAGATGAGGTGTGGGAGACTTAAAATTATCAGTTGATAAATAAACTAAAAGGATACCCTTAGATACACTCTTATATTATGCTTTTCTGCTTATAGTCTCAATTCCTGCTCCGGCAACCACACAACATTATTTTACATTAACACAATTTTCATTGATTTTTTTTTCTTAACTAATTAGTACACAAAAACTTTTAACAGGGTATTTACTACTATTTTTCTAGTTATTAAAAACTCTTTTTCCTAGAAATTCAAAGTACAAGCGTGGCCCAAAGATGATTATGGCAAATTTTATGAAGGGGATTCTTACATAATTCTTAATGTAAGTAAAACACTGATTTATTCTCATCACTTGTTATGTATGAAAAATAAAGGAAACATTTAAATTCTTCCAGCATCATTTTTAAAAAAAAATATGGGGAGGACTGCATTCAGTTTGAAGCAATAAGAACTATAAAAAAGGGTATATTTCTTACAGAATCATTTTGAAATATTGCTTTTCATCATTTAAATCAACAAACATTTTCTTACATATTTTACAGGATTTCCAATTTCCTAAATATCCTCTTTCTAGTATTATGTACAATATTATGTTTTTACAGTAACACACATGATATCAGATATTTTAGAGTATTTCTATTAGTTATATAATTATTTTGTATTATTATGTTTAGACTTTGTGGTCTTGATTTGCATGTGAGTAGAGTTTGACTTGTACAAAAATTTGGATTTTAACATAGATGTTTATGTGCATGAACCACTAAAGAACAAATGGAGAAAAACTAACTTTCATTGCATTTTATTATGTGATGGTAATTTTTCTTTTCATAGTTTGTTATTTAATGTAGAATTTTTCCCATTGTTGTCTTTCACTTTTGGGAGCTACAAAATGAAGAATTGGCCTATTATACTTCTACACTATTACAAACTCTTTCATTTTACTAATGTTTAAACAACTTCATGACATCTGCTAGACCTATTACGACCTGGAACAGAGTGTAAGTTTAACACAAATCCCATCATTCTCATTGTGTCATTCTTATAAGAAGCAGTGGTTCTCAATTATTAAATAAAAAAACACATTAAAAATTTCAATTCTAGGATTGTATCTAGACTCCAAAACTAAATATATATATTTCTGAAAAAAATTTTCTTATTATATTTATTAATTTAAGTGCCTTTTTTAATTTTAAAATCAAAAACATTTTATTGGCTTGAGTAAGGCATATTTTTGGGAACCTCTGCCTTAGGTTAGGATCCTAGTCAACAGAGAAACAGCTGCAGGTTTCAGCCAAGGAAATATGTTGTAGGATAACCAATAACTATAACAAAATAGTCTAATCAATGTCATGCACAATGTTGTAAATACTACATCTCCTGAATTGTTGATAGTTAATTTTAGTTATAGATAGAAATGTTTATGTTATTCTGTCATCCCCTTGTCATAACATGTCCATGAAGCATTGGACTTAGCCTCAGGTACATAGTGACATCAGTAGTTGACTAGTTTAGTATGGAAAGGCTGCTGTTGTTGCTGTTTGTTAAAGTTTGAGATTATATGACATCTAATGAAATCTTGTGTTAGAGTAAATGCCCATCATAGCAGTGACCAAATTTGTTTGAAGTTATCCCTTCTTTAGTGTATGCAAATTTAGCTTTGATAACTATCATAGTTAATATTCTCCATGACATGGACTTTTCTTGTAAAGATGTTAGGTGCCAGGGAATTTTGCTGGTGTTTTAAAGCAATGAATAGATTTAGAGCAATGCTGTTATAAGCGAGGTGTTTGAAACAAAAAAATCAGTGAGTGTGAAAAATTCAGAGGCTTGCAGATTTGACATACGTACTACACAAAGTTCATGCCCTAATTTGAATTGTAGAGTTTGGAATATACATTAGACAGACCTTTATCCCTTCTCTTTGCAAAATCAGTTCAACGTACCTCATTTATCTACCACCTCCCCCCCCCCACCAACATATTCACTGGAATCAATGACACCAGTAACATAGCTGCACTAGATTGTTACTACTTACGTATCTTATTATTTGTCCTATTGTTCACCTCAGTGTTCACAAGTCTGTCACGTCACGAACCCAACAAATCCCTCACCAGTCCCCTACATATTATATATAATCCTATTAAACCCAGACTTCCTTTTTTAACAAATTAATTTTGTTCTCGATCATCCAAATCCTGGTATTGACCAGCCAGCCATTATTTATCACTATTCTACTATATTATATTATTATTATTATTATTATTATACCTGGTTTTCTATAGCGCGGTACCTCAGCCTAGGACTGGGCTCACCACGCTGTACATACACTTAAACAAACATAATAGAAATCTGAAATAATTAATTGACATACATTAATTAAATAAAACAAAACAAATGTATATATAAAACTATTTACATCTCAAGCCATGGACGACACTCAGTAGCGTTGTTTTACGGTCAGAGGTGGGAATCAGTCAGGATAGTTATAACATTAACCCTTCAGCAACATGAATAAACATTTCTGTAGAAGGTGTGCAAATTTTGCAAGCTGTTTACTACAATGGCTCTCGAATACCTTGGATAATTTGACACTGCTTAGTCAAAAGTTCTCCATAGATAATAATAGAAACAGTTTGCTATGATGGTTCACAACAATTATTGTTCTCCAATGACTATGATTTCGACCCTTGAAACATGCATATTTCTTAATTTTTAGCCAATCACCTCTTTATAAATAAACTTATTTGGAACAAGAATCTTAGCATTTTTTAATATTTTTTTTTGAGGGGATAAAAGCGAATCAGCTTTACTATGCTTTGAATATGACCCCCATTGCTGTGTACTTGTAAAAACTCTAAGTTGAGAGATGATGAATCTGGCTTATTTAATTATGGATGACAAATTGAAATCGGGGATTAAGCGAGTAAAAAATACATGTATATGTACATTGCACAAAAAGGGCAAAATAAGACTTGCAGTTATTGTTGAATAAATTGAATCTTTCAAAATTATATTTTCCAATCATTTTCACGCAATGACTGTCTCAGCTTGTATCTTCAATGTTATGTAATGTGTGTACAATTAGTAATATATGCCTATGTGGCATGTCTGCTTATCATTTAAGAAAGAAGAGTCAAATGAATTTCAACTCATTATTTTGTATATTTATGTCAAATACACGTGAAACCCAGTAATGTTTGAAGTATACTACAAAAATGTTTAAATATTCCAAGCAATTGTTATTGAGCTACATTAAATACTTTGAGATGTATAATTAATTCTAACAGATCTTTGTCATGACATGTGTCAAGTTTAATTATGAATATTTAGTCATGACCTGATCTTGTTATACATTGGGCAACCAACTAATGCATTGATGTTCCTTTTGAAAAAAAGTAAATTTAATCTAACAATTTTTTTTATCAGACGTACAAAGAACAAGATGGAGATCAGTTGCTCTATGATGTTCACTTCTGGATTGGAAAATACAGCACTCAGGTAAATATAGAATACACATCATATACACATCACTCTCCAATAGTCAGGTTTACTAAGGCAACACAAGTTAAAGGTTATGAAACCACTGGTCAGTAACTACACATACTGGGTAAATCGTTCTTTGTTAGTGGTGATGTTTTATCACTAACTGATAAGGGGGTGGGGGGATTCATGTAAGAGGAAAAAATGGAAATGACACTGTCTGTCTTCTCTTGGAAATTGAAATCAAATCCTCTAGTATGTAATGATGCTTATTTTGACCACATGACCGTCCAGGCACCAAAACAAAATATAAATTTTAATAATTTAAACTAAGAAAAAAAGTATAGGCCTAGTAAAATTTATTTTTTTAATAACCACTGGATTTGATTTGCTAAAAAATGTGAAGAATTATTGAGCTATTAGTGAAATTGTAATTATTGGGATCAATATTTTATTCAACAATATTCTAACAGTTTTGTATTAGCACTATTCATTGTGAACTATTGAATCAAACATCAAAACCATGACCTAAACACAGAATTTACCAGGTACAAGGTCTAGGGGAGGAATGGGGTTGGCTTCCACCAATCAGGAAAGGAAGGATAGATGCCCCTGAGTCATCCCCCTCCCATTTTCACCCATGACTCCACCTATTAATTATACATTAGACTTGGGATTCTTGGCAATGTAAAAAATGTCCCACCTTTAAGAGTGCCAAATATTAGTGTATGATGGCTCTAGGCTAATGAAATCAAATGTTATTATATCACTTGAGGGAGGAGGTGTGACTGATGGGGGAGTAATCCTATAGAAAGATTACACATTTTCTCAAACATGGTCCATTATTTTTCTAGTACAGTTAGTTGAATTGTGATAAATGGGGCAGCTAAGGGAGTCAACCCATTGTGCAGAAGTTAAAGATATTCAAAAAATATATCCTAGAAATATTTCTTTTTTGTTAACATGATTTAAATTGTCCTATTCTAGCTTTAATTTAACAAAACGGATCATTAAAAATTAAGTTTTTATATTTCTTTCAAGTGCTGAATTTTAAAATATGAGATATTTGATTTGTGATATGTGACAGGTGTAAAAATATATTTTCCATGTGTTAATTTGTACATGATATGTGATAAATTTTAATGAATGTGATATGTTACTGGTTGAAAAGTGATATGCAATATATCATGATTTATGCTGAAGGCTGAAATACTAAATAAATTCCAAAGTATATTGAATAAATAAACCAATTCTTTTTAAATTTAAATATTTCTTTTGTTTTATCCAACTGATTTAACTTCTTAAATGACACTACATTGAAGGATGAATATGGTACAGCTGCATATAAAACTGTAGAGCTGGACACATTTTTGAATGATGTACCGATACAACACAGAGAAGTACAGGGTCATGAGTCAGAGCTCTTCAAATCTTATTTCAAAAGCATCTCGTGAGTTTTTTAGGAATGCTTGTCATTTATTTAATAAAATTGTGTAGTTAACATTTGTATAGTTAAAGTAAATTTAATTAAGTATCTTCGAAAAAGTAATTTTAAACTTTAGCCTCAATTATTCGGTATCTCAAGTGCATCTATAGCTTTAGATCTCTTTGGGAAGGGTATAAAAATATCTTTATAGTTAATAATAATGTTAACTAAGTGCAAATTCATATGATGAAAAAAAATTTCAAGGCTCCTTAAGTTTTGAGGGTTTGGGTAATACTGCACTTCAGCAGGCACAAAGAAGTAGCATGGTAAAACATTGATCTATAGGTGAAGGGGATTTTCCCCCTGATAAATTAATGCATTTAGTGCAATAAAGCCTTTAATATTAATTTAGACCTGAAAACAAATTAAAAATGTTAAATATATAAATATAAAATACAGCAACTTAAACCTAGTTTTAACAATATCATTATAATTAATTGTTATAGATATAAAGATTAAAGATAAATTCTGTTTTACTATATCTGGGCAATAGCCTATTTATGTATTTATATATACATTTTGTGTGTATGTATAAATGTTGCAGAAGCAAACATATTCAATTCTTTAAATATCAATTGTATATCTCCTCTAGAATATTAAAGGGGGGTGCTGATACTGGATTTAGACATGTGAAACCTGAAGAATACAAGTCAAGGTTGTTACAAGTTACAGGTTCCAAGAACTCAGTCACAGTCACAGAGGTACTTATAACGTAGATTGAATTTTTATCAAATAAAAACAATTTGGGACAAATTAGCAAATTTACAAGAAAATATAAATATCTCATATACAGGGTGGGCCAATAAAAGTGAGAATATCTCGTAAAATATTAGGCTATGAGATGTTCTCACTTTTATTGGCCCACCCTGTAGTTTATGTTGTATAACTTACATATTAGTCATATCCACTAGCAGAAGTGCTTTTGGTAGCACAAAAATGAATATTTTTTTTTTATCTAGGTGCCAATGAAAAGAGAAAAGGTGACATCAAATGATGTTTTCATCCTAGATAAAGGCCTAGAAATCTTCCAGTGGAATGGCAAATCTTGTAACAAGGATGAAAAATATAAGGTAAAAATCTGTGAATATGATAACCTATTTAAGAAAGTTAAACACACTTCACCTTAGCATCATCCAAACATCTGCCTTAGGACCTAATTTTGAATTGTTATTAAGTATTGTTTTTATTGTTAAGACCTTGATTTGAATATTTATATATTTATAGTTCTAAAGGCAAAAAAATGTGACCACGTCACACCACTACTTTGTTCACGTCACACCACTACTTGTTCACTTCATTGGCTCCTTGTAAAAGCCCAGATTGACTACAAACTCTCTGTTCTCTCCCACAACTTTTTCTCCAATTCCTGCCATTTCTATCTTACCAAACTTCTTTCTGTCTATTCACCCCTTCGACAGCTTCGCTCCTCCGCAGACGCACATATTCTTTCTATGCCCAAGACTCGAACAAAAACATATGGTGAACAACCTTTCTCTTTCCTTGCCCCTAAACAATTGAATTCTCTTCCATTACATATCCGCAATATACTGACCATCACAGCCTTCAAAACTGCACTCAAAACACATCTCTTTAAACTCTACTATCCTGACTGATTCCCCCCTCTGACCGATAAATGATTCTACTGGGTGCCGACCATGGCTTGAATATTTCTGGAATGGGTGGAGTAAATATACATTTGTTTTGTTTTATTTAATTAACTATGTGGCTATTGGCACCCGAGTATCAGAAGTGAGAGGTTGGGATTAAAAAACTATTTAAATTATTATTGTTGGGTTTGTAAGACAAAATTAGGTATCAAATGAAAGATAATTGAATAGACTATTTGTTTATAAATTTACTTCTTCAGTTTAACTAAAATAAACTACCACAAATGACATCCAAATGGGATTTATTCTAAAGGGACCCAGGTACTCATAGCCATTATTTGGATCCGGGTCTCTTTAGACCAGGGGTCTCAAACTCAAATCATCCGGGGGCCGCAGGATGTAGAGTCTGAGTGAGACTGGGCCGCATGAAGTATGCCACAAAAAAGCAATTAAAAATTAATTACAAATAAAAGCATTAAGGGCTCTCAAGAACTAGGCTTCACTTTCTTTCTCCTACTCCTTGTTGCCAGGGACCTGGCAGCGCTTCTTCTTACACAGCTTAGCAACATTTGGCTTGAGGGAGGAAGCATTAAAAATTATAATATGGCTTTTAAAATTGTTTTAATTCTTGTAAAATCTTTATGAGAACAGGCAGTTCAAGTACTTCAACAGATCAAGTCTGAAAGGGGAGGCAAACCTAATGTTGAAACATTTGATGAAGATGACAATGGAGTATGCTACCCTTTTTAAAATAATGATTAATACCTTTATAATTTGTAGACAATATTGGATGTATTTTTTTTAATGTCGTAGAGACTATATAGTTTAGAAAACACACATATGACTCCTTATACCTTACAATTATCATAACCATTAATATAAATGATTTGATGTCACTGTTTGACATGAATTAGAAAAAAATGTAAAACTTCATTAGAACATAATATATTTGCAAAAAGTTTTTTTTAAATACTGATAAATTAATTGATATTATTTGGTGTAGAATTTTTTTAAAGTTGTATTTAGGCTTACAATCAATAGATTTTTTTTTTTTAAAGAATGGTTTCTTTGATCAATTCATTGATGATGATGATGATGATGATAACGACGATTCTGATTTTGAGGATGACAACAAGACACCAGAGCTTTACAAGTAAGTTTTTCAATGGTCACCAAAGTTTACCAATCTAATAATTAGTGGATTGAAATGTTGTTTGTAGAAAATGTCATTCTAGCTAATAAACCTTGTTTTGCTTGGGTTTTTATTTGGAAAAAGACTTCTTAAGAGTTATTAGCATACACATAAATTTAGGTTAGGGCCCTGTCAAAAAAACTTCATTAGAGTACAGGTGAAATTTTTAATAAAAATTCTCCTTTGAACAGCCAGAATAACTCTTGTAAACTTTAAATTTGGGGCAAATCCCATTTCAGTTGATATTCAAGCTGAGTACAGCCAAGAGCCATGATTTAAAGACAAATCTAACATTAAAAAATGTCTTAATAAAAATAAAATATTTTCACCAATGTCAAATCAATCAAAATAAAATACAATCCTCATTCAAATGTGGTCATTTTAGTTATCCCTAAGATAGAGGCCCTACAAATATCATTCAGCTAAATTGAATTTTCAAATTTATCCCATTACAAACTGAAGCAATTTGCAGAGTTATTGCCTTTAAAAAATTTTACTTTTGGGGCTCCCAAGCTAAAAGAACTAATTATTCTTTAATATTTTACAGCAGTGAGTATTTTAGGTTGGATAACATACAAACTTTATTTTAAAAATTGTCCCATTAAAATTGGTTTAAAAATGCAAAAGTTAAAGTGTTTTATTTAAACTAAATTGGGCATCCCTTGCACAAAAATATGTGGATATGATTAGTTTGAAATCACAGATATTTTAAAAGGCATGAAATGTATGTTTATCAATTTTGGCCAAGGTGCAGCAATTTGTGTAGAAGCTTGCATTGTAACATACGCCTTTTATATAGCTTTGGCTAATTAAAGAAAAATACATTATAGAACCCTCCATACTCATTTGGAACTTCAAAGATGTCTTTAAAACTATTTACTAAATTTTGAGGAAATTCATATATATTTATAGAAACATAAGAAACATAAAAAGTACATTTACATAATATGAAACCCCTTTTAAAAAAACAGTGATGAACATTTTGAGTTAAAAACCCTATGTTTTTTTTTAAAATAAATTTTCACGTGCCTTTGTACCCAGTTTGGTCTAGATCTATCCATTATTTGGAAATTTATTTATAAAGTTTGCATAAAAAAAAAATAATTTTTCCCCCACCCATGAATGGGATATTTAAAAAAAATTCAAACCCATCAACATTTTCTTCTGCATAATGGCTTGAAACAACTATGTATCCAAAGTTTGATCAAGACCCATTAATCCATGTAGAATTATATGTGTTACAAACAGACATATTTTCTTATGTATATATTAGATGCATATTATGCCAGAAAGATACATGGATGACTATTTGAAATCTTATCAGGCATTTTCTTTAAGGCATAAAATTAATTAAAAATCAGCATTAAGAAATACATGTATGACATTTTATAGTTTTTCATTATTTGATTTCTTGGGTCGTTTTTATTTGTAACATTCCCTTATCATAAACTGATGCCAATAAAAAATCTAGATGGAAACTTATTGTGTGTGACATTGAAGAAGCTTACTATAAATATACAACTTGAAAAATTTGCTATTAAAAAAGGTAAATCTACTATGGATTGAAATTATTACATGTGTAAAATAATTGTGCCTTTGAGACACTGTTATTCTCATCAAATGCACTTTCCCATTCAGTGATGTAGTTTTACTAGATGCTGATTTGGGGCTAAATCACAAACTTGTGATTCCCGTGCATTTCTACTCATCTACTATGTAAATTAGTGATACAAATTTTGAAAGAAGCCTCATGACTAAGACCATAGTTATGCCAAAGCACTCTTAATATATGCCCCTTAACTATTTAAAAAATTTTAATGTAATATTCAACCCCCCTTAAACCACGCAATTAATTGTAGTTTCTTAAAATGGTACAACACCTATTTTCATATATTTGATATATGATTGCATTAAACAGCTTATCTTTTGTCAAAAAACTTTCTTGAAAGTACATTGAATAAAGCGTTACTTGTTTTTCTTGTGAATGATTGACCCATTTACAAACATTGTCACACTGACTTTATCTACGAAATAAACAAGATACTTTAATGTTTATATTAAAAGGTTAAGTGATGAAAGTGGAGAACTGGATTTCCAGAAAACTAAAGAAGGGAGGGTCTTTAAAAATGACTTTAACAGCAAGGTAAAAAAAAATGTGTTTGATATAAAGTTATGTATCATTTATAACTTCTGTACATTTCATTATGTTTTATAGATATATTAGTGAGCTTGGTTATTTTAATTAGCACAAATCAAAATTTTAACTGTTGTATGAAATTGAAAAAATACCTAAGTAGATATAAATTTTGTAAATAGTCTAATATTTATTAGAGGGCATTGATGATCAAAAGTCAAATTATATAATTGTGTGGCTGCAATAAGCTAAAAATGGGTTCAGAAGTTTTAGGTTTCATATATTTTAAGCATATTTTTCTTGGTTTTTTTAGGATGTGTTCATCTTTGATAACAAAAAGGAATGTTTTGTTTGGATTGGTAAAGGAGCTTCTAAGACGGAAAAGCAAAATGCATTGTCTTATGCCCATGTAAGTAAAAGCTAAACAGCAAAATGGAATTACCATGAATTCGGTGATTCATATTATCTTCTTAATGATTTTCTTTGTTTTACTGGCGTTATATATATGTATATAGCTTTTATATTAAACACCGTAGAAAATGTAAAGAAAATTAAAAGGTATTCAGTTTTGTATATTTTATAAAGTGTTTTAGAAAAGTCTGAAACATCTAAATTATTTTAAGTGTTTTTAATATTCATTCATAGTAATTTAAAATGATGACAAGGCATTCTATTTTTTTGCCTAAACCTGAATTCTTTTAAAAAGATATAAAAGGAAATTTAGTTAACTAAACCTTTTCTTAAAGAAAGATTAAGAGTTTTAGTTAGTTTGTTTTTTTTAGATTTTAGTTTGTAGTTAACATGTTACATAATTTATTTCAGAAATTTCTTCAAGTTTCCACCCATCCACTTATCCCTATCACAGTTGTCTCTGAAGGTCAAGAAAACAAGAGTTTCAGAGCTGCCATAGCTGCCTAAGTCCATTGTTCCAAATATCCTTTACTTGCTATAGCAATCCTTATCATAAATGATTTTCAACAATTTGATGGGGTTCTTCAAATTTTGGAAAGTTTTGGAATGTATCTCTAATCTTTATTTTAAAAATAAAACAACGCTTGAAAAAAAAAAGGTTGGAAACATCTAAAAAAATTATTTTACTTTTTAATTGTTTTTTATATAGAATGACGATAGCTTGTTTGACTGTATGACTCAATGTTGTAGTTAATCTTTTCATGCCAAACCACTTAAGGCACCAAAGTGTTTGTTGATTGTAGAAATAGAAATGAGGAACAAATCTTTCATGCGTATGAAAAAGTTCATGGAGAAGGGCTGTGGATGCTACTTTGTACATGAGTAGAGGCTATTTAAAGAAAACCATCTTAAACTGCATTTCTTGTTGTTGTTTTTCTTGTCAGTTAAGAGATTAAAAGGGACGTAATGTTATTAAATTCAAATATAAGCTGGACACTAAATTTTTAACTGCTGCAATAAATTTTAATTTTGTTTAACAAAGAAGCTCTTGATTCCAATTTCTGATAAATTTGAGTTTTTATAGTGAGTTAAGATAAAGTATACTATTAAAAGGACACTATATATTAAATTTTTGAATGGCATGTCGATATAAGCCACCAAATACTTGCTATTTGTTTGGACAATGTTCCTTTATCACATTTGAGTGAACATTTTTATTACAGGTATTTATGATTTTCCTATCTTTATAATTTTATATTTTTCAATTTACTATGCATAACAGGAGAGATCTTTTACTTGTAATCATTTTAAATTTAATAATAAGAACTAGAAAAGATATAACATACGCACATGCACTTAAAAGGAAATTGGTTTTTAAAAAAATTTAAATAAAACATTATATGGGGGTCTATTTCTGAAAAAAATTTATACACAGATATTTGTAACAAAATTTATTTTGGTTTTAAATTACTAGATGCATTTTAAAAGATCAGTAAAAAAACTTTAGCCATGATTAAATTAATTGCTTGTTATGTAGTAACCTTGCTATCTAATATCTTATCAATTAAGGATGAATGTTTTGGTAATTTTATGTTACCTGAGCATGGTAATATATTTTTTCAATAAATGGGATGTCATTACAATATATAAAATAGGCAAAGATTGTTTATAATATTTTTTCATTATTTCCTCTTTATACTGATCCATATCATTATAAAAGATCTGTCTCTTACACATCTATATTTATATTTATTTACAAAAATATAATGAAGTAAGTATTTCTAATTTGTGATAAGTTAATAAGTAATCATCAGCAATGTTTTTCCCTTTTGATATATATTGACAAATTTCTTAATTAACAAATTGTATTTTAAAATAAATATTCTCTCTTACAAATTTGGGAATCCTTTGGGTAATTATGTAGTTTTAAGAATTAAGCCTACTGTCTCAAAAAATGTTACCTTCTTTACATGTTTGTTAGCAAATATTTTTTTTACTGTGATTCATTGAATTTTAACTGCACTAACTCATTGCAATGATTTGTTGGTTGTGTGATAAATGATAACAATCTGTGACAATGACAAATAGTACACAATATGAAGACTTACTGAAATATTAAAAATAATTTACTGCTGACATATTTACCTAAACATGCATACCTACAAAGTCCATAGTTAAAAAAAAAAACACTTTTTATTTTGTTTAAATTTAAATGACAGAATTCATAAATAAAGTAACTAAAAATATATCTTACATAATGTTTAGCATAGGTTGTGTTTGGATGATATTTGTGCAGCTTCATTCTTTCTTTCATATGTCAAATTTATTGTTAAGATACATAATAAATAAACAATTTTTTGGCATTTGTTTTGTTCTTGTTTTAGTCTGCCAATATTATTTATAGATTATATCAAAATAATCTGTTTAAGAGATGACTGAGATAAGATTTTTTTTTTAAAGTTTATTTACCTCAAAGAATTTTATTGATTTAAAAAAATATTAATGTATCAAGACTTCATCACCATGGTAGTTTTCATGGCTTAAATAAACAATCATATATTCCCATGATTTGAGGATGTTCCTTTTAATTTAAGTAAAATGAATAATAAATTTTTGATACATTGATTCATTTCAATTGAAATAGGTTAAATAGTTAAACAACAGTTTTTTCACTAGCACTTTAATACTAGAGCTAATAACGATGTTTGGGTCCTGAAAATATTTGCTATACTCAAGCAAGCAAGGAATTAACTAGCATTAATAGAAAGTCTCCAAAAAATGCAGGTGTTTGACCCATAAGGGGAGCTAAACAGTTGCTGGACTCATATTATTCCATGATGTCTAATCTAAGACTGTTGTTATGCGCTCTGGTTTGACCAGGGGGATGGCGATATTTAAATGTCTAGACTAGAGATACCTGGTATTTAACACGATATTAATGTTCTAAATAAGCCCAGTATTTACATGGTGACGTACTGTCACATAATGATACATGTATTTTATCTTATTTATAACACAGAATCCCATGAAATTTCATTAAAATAAATAAGGGACAATAGCAAAAATAAAGATCATAAGTAATAGAATAATGACAAATGCAACATTACTGATCGAGCCCAATAGCTCTCTGTTAAGTCCACAGAAAGCAAACATTTATTCGTTGTTTACACATGTTCAAAATTTTTCCTCAGCCCAACATAAAAAAAAACAACAACATGTTCACTCATGTGCATACAATGCCTGAAATGTTGGCCTATATTTAATAATAATAATAATTATTAGTGGTCTTATATAGCCTAGGGCTCACCGCGCTGTACATAAAACTGTTATCAAAAGAGACATTATCATGACATTAAAATAAAATACAAATATGAAATAGAGAACAGCGTGTAAACAAAACAACAAAAACAAATGTATATTCACCCACCCCACCCCAGAAATTTTACAAGACAAACCATAGACGTCAGCCAGCAGCATTGTTTATCGGTCAGAGGAGGGGAATCATTCAGGGTAGTATAGTATTTAAAACAAGCCAAGAGAAGTATGGTATATTTATATTGTCATTCCATGAATTGAAATGATTGATATTATCAGTTGACGAATAGACAGTAACAAGAAAAAAATGACCATTATAGGGAATCGACATAACATTAAGTCATTTTTATACTATATCCGGAAATGTTAACATTATTATATACATTGTCAATTTATATTTTGAGAAGTTTGAAGAAGAGAGGAGAGCACTGTAGAAAAAAATATTACAAAAACACATTTTTTTAAAAAAGGCATGTCCTTATTTACAAAAAAGTATAAAATTTAATGAGACAATATATTTACAAAAGTGGCAGTTTAAACGTTTTTTAAAGGTTCCAAGTGATATCAACTGTAAAAATTTGCGTCTCATTAAAACGAGTATTTCCTGTGTTGAATCTTATTGTCATTTGAAATTTGGCCCATGAGTAGCTCCCCTTGAATACGCATCTTCTAATATAAACGAGCACCAAAGCAAGCAACAATGCCAAACCCAAAATATTTGAAAATATGATGTGAAGTTAAAGTATTAAACTTTCCTTTTACACCAGTGATCAGAATCTCATCTCATCTTGACACACTAGCAGCACGCACTGTGTACTATCTGCCAGGACTTGAGCTTTCTTTGATGAGATTTAAATAACGGTTCATTGATGACACTGTCTCCACTTCAGAAAATATAAGTCTTATATTGTCTGCTAAAACTACATTCGTATTTTGAATTTTTCCTGTAGATTAAAGCATCCCATCAGTTAAGGATTTGTCCTTTTGATTCATAAACAATAACAAACAAGCAAACAAACAAAATGGTTATTTTAAGACCTGAGGTCAAAGAAGTCTCCATTGACACTTTCCGTGTAGATAGATTTCCCGCCGTACCACGGCGCTTCCTTTGTTATGGGTTCATCTTCAGTGGCTGACATGCCTTGCCACATTTTACCAAGTAGTAAATCTTTGCCCTGTGACCCTAAGTTAGTTGAGTGTATGCCTACAAAAAGGGGAGTTTCCAGAGCAACGTCATCTTTGCCTTCAACCCTTACCTGGAAAATAAAACGATTTTTATTATTATTATCGATTCTAATATGCATTTTCAAACGAAAGAATTTTTAGGGGTACCTCTAGAACTAATATAATAGTGGCTTGGGCGAAATGGCTGCTTAGGAACATTCTTAATATGTCATTTTAATATACATGGGATGCTCCAAGCCTATACCAAAAATCCATTAGTCGAAGCTGTACTCTTAGCCCCAAACATATTTTTTAAAATTGTGCACAATCTGCAAAGTGCTTAACCAACTATCGGGAACGTTTACCCCCAAAAGAAACACAAAAGTTCGTATGGTCTAAGCAAATACGCTACAGTAAACCCAGTACGCCATAATTCTGGAAGAGGTCGTGTTTATAAGGCGTTTTACATTGAAAACTTCTGTTCAAAATTTTGTGGTTAATGAAATTTCATCCGTCACAACTATCTTGATAATGTTCTTCTCTTCTGTTATTAAAATAAAAGTATAGGAATGAACAGATGCTTATTGGCACTTAGTGTTCATCTTAGAATCACAAGGTTACCGACCTTGAACTGGAAGATGTACTGTAAGTTCATGATCTTGCAATGCTCTAGACCTGAGTCGGGCAGATATGGAGGAACAGGCAGCAGAACATGACGCCAGCGACGTCCTCTGAATGTGCTGACGTCATACACGTCATCTCTCTTACTTAAATATTGCCTGTGGGAAAACAAGTGAACGGCTGATTCTTTGTCATAAATGATGTTGTTCAATGTGACTCACGGGTCTTCATCAATATTTGACCTGGTTACAAATCACATCATTACAGATCTTTGAAAAAGTTGCCCGTCTTACCTGAAAACTATCTCGTGTCCCTCTGCCAGGTAGTGACTCTCCAGAATGATCGATGCCTGGATCAGACTTATCTCTTTGCCCGTCCAGTTGGAAACCTCTGCATCAATGATAATATTGTCCCCTGGCACCGCAGCACTTTTGTCGATGGTGCATTCGACCTTGACCTGATGATATTGACACTTAATTTATATAACCCATCTAAGAAATGGAAGACGAAATGACTGGGTTCATGAAAACTTCAACTGATGCACACTGATGTTTTAATGTGAAGTTTATTTAGGACATTCGATCAAGCAGGTAGCAATAGCATATCGAGTGCTAAGACCAGCTGTATATTTTGTGGAAAATTACAGTTACATTAATGAATATAGTTTATGCTATATATAAAAAAAATAATTTATTATTACCTTTCCCGTGGTAAGACCGAGGAAAAATCTGCTTTTTTTAATGGTCTTTTCTTCATAGATTTCTGGGGCAAGCTCTGGCCGTCTCAGCACCATGAAAGGTTCACTTGTGATTGTTGTGTTTCTCTCGTCTTCACAGTCAAGTTTAACCTGTTGGGGAGGGGGGGGGATACGTTTTAATGTAAAAAAAAGATTTATTGGCTGGAATGGGATCTCGGTCACCTGCACTGAAACCGTCGTATAATCCAGCTGCCTACGGCTAAAGCTGAAGACATTCACATTCATGCAGTCTTCTTTACGTACTGTTTGAATACTGATTTAGTGTCTATGCTATCAGTGATTGATTTACAAAATTCATTGAAATTTTAGTACTTGTGTTTGTGAAATATGTTTCGAGTCAATTTATTAATTACAAACCAAAAGATGTTTGCAATATGTTGCTTTTTATTTAAATTTTGGTTTATTTTAAATTTTTAAAATGTATCAATAGTTCTATTTTTGCAGCCAATGAGTTTCCAAAGGGATGTGCATTATTTACGTCAAAAAAAAAAAAAGTGAATGGGGGTTGGAAAAAGTCTGAGAGTTGCTGACCAAAAAAAAGTGGTTGGGGGGGGGGGGGATGTCAAAAGTGCCTAAAATTTGTTGACATAATCAGGGTAATGTACAGCCCCTAATTAAAAAGTCACAGACTTGCCTTAGCGATGTAGGTAATTTGCCCGTAGACGCCATTGAAAGTTGAAGGAAGGTTCGTTGGAAGCTGGTATTTGAAACCAAACTGGTGGAGACCTCTAGGCAGTTCTATGGCATTGTCGTAGCCAATATCTAAGAGATGTTTGGCTGACTCTAAATGAACCTCGGATGCTTGGTAAACCTGTCAAAGAGGTTTTCGGTGGAAAAATTAACGATTTAAAAAAAAATATATATAAATATTAGCATTCACATTTAATGTTTGTTTTTGCGAGTCTGCTTGCCTTGCGGGGCTGCTGGCCTTGCGGGTGTGCTTGCCTTGCTGGTCTGTTGGTCTTGCGGGTCTGCTTGCCTTGCGGGTCTGCTTGCCTTGCTGGTCTGTTGGTCTTGTGGGTCTGCTTGCCTTGCGGGTCTGTTGGTCTTGTGGGTCTGCTTGCCTTGCGAGTCTGTTGGTCTTGCGAGTCTGCTTGCCTTGCGAGTCTGTTGGTCTTACGAGTCTACTTGCCTTGCGAGTCTGTTGGTCTTGCGGGTCTTACGAGTCTACTTACTTGTCTTGCGGGTCTGTTGGTCTTGCGAGTCTCTCAATATGGCCTTCCCGGCCATGGCAGACACAAAACCATATATCCCAAGCCACCCAAACAGGTTTGGTGACTTAATGGGAACAGATACTACAATTTGATATTATATAAAAGGTCAAAACATGTATCCCCCTAAATACATTGAATAAGATTTCGTATTTGTACAGACGTATTGTGAAAATAACCTTATGGTATTCGTTTTGAAAAGGACTTGTATCCACCATTGATCCTTTCTTTCCTTTTAATTTTTGAAATATTTAGATTAGGAGATGCATTTGCTGTTTTATTTTAATATCTTGCTTGTGTATCATTTGTCTACTTAATTTTTTTTTTTAGTGAACACACTACGTACTCTCTTCTTTTTGTTAGACTCCCATGAGACGGTGGCCATGCCCAAGAAATGTATTGTTAGGCCCCTTGTTTTGATGGCCTGCCTCAGGTGCAGGGAGACCACTCCCTTCATCTCGTCCCCGGGCATGTAGTACTGTCTGTGGAGGCGAGTGCTCTCATCGTCGTCGCCATAGACAAAATGGATCAGTAGATCTTCAACAGACATGGCAACTCACGGAGTTTACCGAAGTCTGGGCGGCTCACGGAGTTTACCGAAGTCTTAGTCGTTGTACTTTGTTTGGTTGCTTCTTATAATAGGTTGTGAGACCGGTGAATCTGTAATTTGTAAATGGCATGAACAGTTTATTAAATGCATGTGATCTACTAGTTATGTAAACAATTTATTAAATGCATGTGATCTACTAGCTACGTAAACAGTTTATTAAATGCATGTGATCTACTAGTTATGTAAACAATTTATTAAATGCATGTGATCTACTAGCTACGTAAACAGTTTATTAAATGCATGTGATCTACTAGCTATGTAAACAGTTTATTAAATGCATGTGATCTACTAGCTATGTAAACAGTTTATTAATTGCATGTTGCCTACTGATCGATGCCTGGATCAGACTTATCTCTTTGTTGGTTTCTGTTCGCTGAAGAAGGCTTCTTGCCGACACTTTCATTGTTTTGTTGCGTCCTCCTTTCAGGGTTTCAACTGAATTGTTTCACATATTTCCTTCTATCTAACCCGATTGCAGTATCTACCCCGTTATTATTCTGAGATTTACGAATTATGGTTCACTAACTGTGGTCCACCAGCTGTGGTTCACGAATTGGGGTCCACCAGCTGTGGTTCACTAACTGTGGTCCACCAGCTGTGGTTCACTAACTGTGGTCCACATGCTGTGGTTCACTAACTGTGGTCCACATGCTGTGGTTCACTAACTGGGTCCATTAGCTATGGTTCACTAACTGTGGTCCACCAGCTATCGCTTGTAAGCAGTGACGAATCAAGACTAGACAGTAAGAAGGTAAATACAAATATGACACAGATGTGTCACTGTCAAAATGAATTAAAAAACGAGCATGCGTTGCCGCCTCCATGACATGTGATAAAGAATCACACAATGGAAATAATACTCTGTCAGCTAACTGAATAAGAGAAAAGATTTTTTTTTTTTTAATCTTAAAATATCAGATATTTATAGGCTTTGAAACGTTTCACAAGACTTCAAAAGTAACATGGCTCTTTCTTTGTGTAGATTTGTAGGTGAAACATGTTTGTAATTGAATAGGTTTTCTTGCTCATTGGTCGTCAGCTTCATAAAAATAGTTAAATCTCCCTATCAATTGATGTGCACATAATAATGGCTCAATCGGCCTCTCACTTGATGTGTACAATGTCAGTCACAGAGTATTATACTACCCTGAGTGATTCCCCTCCTCTGACCGATAAAAGATCTTGCTGGCTGCCGTCCATGGTTTGCCTTGTAAAAGTTATTTGTTGGGGTGGGTGAATATACATTTTTTTTTTGCTGTTCTTTATTTCAATAATGTATTTTATTTTAATGTCATGATTATGTCTCTTTTGATAAAATTTTTATGTACAGCGCGGTGAGCCCAGCCCTAGGCTGGGGTACCGCGCTATATAAGACCCCTTATTATTATTATTATTATTATTCCAGGCAAACCGGCCATTCGTTGTTATTTAACGTAACATTGAAAATTTGTTACATTACAATTTAAAATGCTACCCATGACATTTATAACCGTATTTGAAGTATTGGGGCACACTGCCTATAATATGGAAACCACTGCATTGTGGCCCTTCATTGTCAAAGTTTTGTTAAGTGCACTGCGCAGGACTCAAAACTGCTGCGCGGCGTCTGTCAGATAGTTGCGCCACCGCGCAGCCTAAAGGGAACATTGCACCCCACCTTTCCTCTTTCTACGCCACGCTAGTTTGGCGTCAGGGGACATGATTATTTTTTACGCCCCCCCCCCACCGCAAATCTGAACGTAACTAATTATTTTCAACCATCAAACACCGTTAAAGCATATTTTGGTTATCCCGCTTTTCTGGCGTTTGGGGACGCATGCCCCCCTCTGCCACCCCTTAGCTACGCCTCTGGCCACTGCTCAGTGGCAACTGGCACTGCCCCTCCCCCTACAATCTGAAATGCCCCCCCCCCGGGGAGAAATGTCTGAAACAAACACTGGTACCCACCCCCACCGCCCCACCCCCACAGCCTCCACACCTGCAAACCCCGGCCATTTTCAAGTCCCACCTGGTGTCTTCTGAATAGTCCAACGTCACCACGGCATGCAACAAAGTTCACTTCTGAATAGTCCTATGTCCAACGTCACCACGGCATGCAACAAAGTTCACTTCTGAATAGTCCTATGTCCAACGTCACCACGGCATGCAACAAAGTTCACTTCTGAATAGTCCTATGTCCAACGTCACCACGGCATGCAACAAAGTTCACTTCTGAATAGTCCAACGTCACCACGGCATGTGACAAAGTTCACTTCTGAATAGTCCAACGTCACCACAGCATGTAACAAAGTTCACGAAAATATTCATCCATGCCAACCTTAACAACATGAATTCAAAATGGCGACACTCAGCAACAGTTGCTAAACTGCAATTTCTGTTTGCCTCCCTTTCTAGAAATCTTCTTTTAAGTCCGCTTGGGATTGGGTATTTTAATGACATGGCAGAAAGACCAAACTCTACAAGTATTATTTTAGTGACTAAGGAAAAGTAAAACCTTTCAAATTTTACCTAAATGTTTTTGTTAAGACTTCTTTTGCGTGGCGTGTTAAAATATGATTGGCTTATTTGAAACTAGAAATACCCCGCCAACCAATGGCAGAGGCAATGCGTGAGCTTCGCATCTGCTAAAGCTACTCGACAAAACATGCATTCAGGTAACGCACTATATAAGAATGCACCAGTTAGTGTTCACTTCTGGGATTGCTATTTTGTGCGACTATTGAACACGGTGTTACAGCCATACATAAATACACATAGAGTTATTATTTGTGAGAACCCCGTGTGAATCAAGTATTGACGTCACACTTTTATTCAAATTAGGATAAAATAAAATTCAATTGGAGGAACATGGAAGAGTTATAACTCGAGAATAAGCTGTCCATATTTCCCACATCTAATCTACCAGATGTCCTCAGCTCCTAAGTCTAATCTATCAGATGTCCACATCTCCTACATCCACTCTATCGCAAATGCCCATCTCCACTATCAGATGAGCACATCTACTCCATCGGATGTGGGGTGTTACACTTTTCTTGCACAGTCTAGTGCTGGGGTATAACACTTTGGGAACCTTACGTTTTTCAAGCATAAAGGGAATTAATACGCAAACGCAGGGGTCCTAAAATTATGGCCCGCGGGTCAAATCCGACCCGCCTAGGGCCCTTAATCTGACCCGCCTTGCCACCGTAATGGAACCATGCTAGCAGCGACAAATATGAAACCGGACATTGATCATATCATTAGCCATACTTCCCCTTGAAATACTATTAATTTTATGTTTGTGATAGTTTGTATTTTTCATTTTTATTTTGTTATTGTTTTTTCAAGAAGTTCATTTCACTACAAATAAAATATATGCAGTGTGCATAGAATTGAGATATGTGCCGTGTGCAAAGAATTGAGATATATGCAATGGACATGTGTAATGTGCATAGTTATTGTTTAGTGTGCATAAAGTATGTTCAAATATTTTTTAAACCATATTCCGGCCCCAACAGTTTTCTGAGGACACTGATCCGGCCCCATTTTTTTAAAAGTCTGGGGACTCCGCGCTAACATATTCTCGGGGCAATGATTCCAAAGGGGGTGGTGGGTGCGAGAACTTGGTCAAGAAATGGGCGTTTGTTGTTTTTATCAATGTCTTTTTAGACAGGAACTTCATTGACTGTGCCTATATGTCTATGCTACTTCTTTGCTTTGTTCAAAGCTGGACGACCTCACAAGAACCTCGTTGAATCCAAAAGTATAATGCCACGAGTGCACCAAGGAGCTTCCATGCACCATCCACGGTGCAGAATATTACACAAAATGTCCTACCGCCCAATCTCTAGATAGCATTCCTCGGTTTTGCTGAAGCTTGATCTTATTTTTATTTCTTTTGGGGTGCGTGGCGGAATAATCCCCTAATCCACTTCAATCACGGAAATGGATTAATTACTCAATCTGTGATTTCAATGGAAAAAACACAATTTAATTGATCGGTCAATCTTATGTAGCGTTCAAATGGTTGCAAAGTATTAAGAGATAAGTGTAATTACGTATCTCAGCTTTCTCTTCTAGCCGAGATGGTGGTGATAGAAATTAATAAGACTCGAGACAAACCTGGGGATGTAGTTTATTTTTATAATTCTAAAGTTAGGAATATAGGGCAGGTATTTTTACAAAATGGTTGACCTAATTCTACTGCAAGCGCTAATTCATTTTTATTTAATTTAGCAAATATTTCTGACACGTAAGCAGTGTCGTGTGTGATGTCGTTTGTGATGTCGTGTGTGTTGTCGTGTGTGATGTCGTGTGTGCTGTCGTGATGTCATGTGTGATGTCGTTTGTGATGTCGTGTGTGATGTCGTGTGTGATGTCGTGATGTCATGTGTGATGTCGTGTGTGATGTCGTGATGTCATGTGTGATGTCGTGTGTGATGTCTTTATAGTAGCACCATCACGCAAGGCAGAGCCACTATTTGAGCACAAGCGTTAACTTAGATTTAATTGATTTGAGATCTTCAAAAACCTAAGTTTATTATTTTTTTTTAAATTTATTTTTTGTTTATTATAATATTATCTGCTGAAGAAGGCGTTTAGCCGAAGCGTTGAATGTAGGGGGGGGGGTCATTTAAAAAAAATTCGCCACGGGGTTATTAAAAACGCTTGTCGTCATTGAGGTTCAAATTTGAATACTCCATCATCAATTGGTTTGTACTTTTCCGATTGAGCTATCAACAACGCATTGTTATAGCATACGCTGGACGTAAGCCGTTTGTGTGTTGATGAGAATCGTAAAAAAATATAGATATTAGCAGTCTTCGGTCCGATCTGTTTAGCTTTCCACTTATAGAGGGAGGGGCGGGGGCTTATAAACCTTTTTTAGTTGCTCAGATGAGGCGGGGGCATGAAGGATGGGAAACACGATGCTGAATGGTTTTATTTCACAGCCCATGACGGTTAGGTAACTCCGTTCTAAATGGTTTTAGCACACACTTGACGGTTGGGAAACACTGGTATATATAGTTTTATCTCACAGCACATGGCGGTTGGGAAACACTGTTCTAAATGGTCTTAGCTCACAGCACCTAGCTGGGTATAAATGTAAACGTATTGAGCACCGCTGTTCGGAATTTATATTAATAATAGTCTTTGTTGTGTGGAAAAAATGTGTTGTCTATCCTCGGCATTTATTTGACGCCAACAAATATTCTCATTTTAATTTCCCAGCTAGCTACCCCTTAAAAGTCCCAACGCCACCTAAAATCTTCCAAACCTTTCAGCGCCTTACTGAGCTATCCCAATTTAAGAACCATTGGTCTAATGCCTTTATCGGTTCAAAAAAAATTACATGAATTTAACCCAAATTTTACATAATAAATGTTCTACCCACAGGCCTCCAAAGGAAGGGGCTGGGTCTGTCCTGGGCGGCACTTAAAAAAATAAACTATTATGAAAGCATGGTTCAAATGTTGTTCTTGTTTTGTATTGTCGACCTAAAATGCCCTTTTAATTGTTCTGCATTTTTTCCCAAGGTTAAACATTTCTTGTTCCACAAGTTATTTAAAACGGCTTGAACGCTGCCCCCCCCCCCCATGCACTTTTTATATGACCCGAATAATACCGGGTCTTATCGTTTTCAAGAAGACTTCATTCAGAATGGTGTGCTTTCAAACATCTTTTAAAGGAAGGGTTTTCCGTGCGCTTTTGTATGCGGGTATGGTCATTGAACATGTCAAAAAAACATAATCTGGCCCTCGGGTCGAAAGGTTTATTACCTTTGGTCTACAGTCCAATTTCCCTAACATCGTGTTTAGGGAAAGTAGCCGAGAGAATGGTTAACCAGAGGCTCTACTGGTACCTGGAGAGTACCGGGAACCTCAGCCCAATACAGGCGGGCATCCACAAGGGAATGCAGCCTGTAGATCAGGTGCTCCGTCTTCTCCAGTCCATAACAGATGGGCTCCAGAAAAAGTCGCATACAGTGGCTGTATTTTTTTACCTGCGACAAGCATATGACCGGGTTTGGAGGTCCGGTCTATGTGGAGTTGCAAAAATTGGGAGTAACTGCCAAGATGCACAGGAGGGTTGCCGGTTTTCTTAGAAACCGGACAGTCAGCACGAAATGGGGCAGCGAAACCTCCAGGAACAGAATGCTTGAAGAATGGCTACCGCAAGGATCGGCCCTCGGTTTCACCCTCTTTCTAGCCTACATCAACGACTTGCCACTAAATCTAGCAACTAAAACTGCGATATATGTCAACGATTTGGTTATCTGGCGTACCAGTAAAGATGTCCACCGCCTGCAAACGCTATTACAACAAGACCTTTCTGCTATCAATAGCTACATGCGGCGTTGGCATCTGGAAATTAACACCGAGAAGACTACTTCGCTACTTACCAATGATAAGACAATGCGAATCCTAACGTTACTTTTTTTTTGTTCTTTATTAAGCCTATCCATTTTTGTATGTTTTAATTTGAACAGTCTTGAGGGTACCATAATCCAAGCCACGTCTGCTTATCTTTTAGAAAATAGCTATTCTCAAAAAAGTTTCATTTAATTTAGATTATCGGTTCGTTATCTTGATAAAATGATCGACAGCGGCGGGTGCACGGTGGGGAGCAACACAGGGGCAGGTGTAGCTAGATCCCCTTTTCTACGTAATAATCATACCGTCCTTGATTGTTAGCAAAGCAGACGACACCAGATCTAGTGAATAGCCGTATGTCGTGGGAACTAGTCGCCTGAACATTGCCACACCCAACCTTCTCATGCCTCTAATAGTGAATACATGTTTGCATGGTTCAATGAACACCACGCACCAGTGCACTGAACCCATACATGAGCCAACGCTTAGATCTAAATTCGTGCTGTTAAATTAACTCCATCGTGCTGTTAAATTGACTCCATCGTGCTGTTAAATTGACTCCATCGTGTTGTTAAATTAACTCCATCGTGCTGTTAAATTGACTCCATCGTGCTGTTAAATTGACTCCATCGTGCTGTTAAATTAAGCTACAGAAATAAAAAGTGGGAGGCGTCAATCATAAAGAATTTAACGGTTTGCCTGGACAAGTTTTACCTGTTAATATTTCAACATGCCTTTTATGTGAAAATATCCATTCAGTTGCGTAGGCACGGAGGGGGCAGGGAAGGAGGGGTAGGTCGGTTGGGGGAACTTAGGGCAAACATTGTCAGGAGAAACAGGGCCACCCCAAAAATACTAAAGACAAAAATAGATATTTGCAATAAACGACAATCCATAACTAAGTCTAAATTTTTGAGTCCTCAGAAAAATGGAAATAGTTCGATAGTAAATAATGTGCCGTGTGATGTCACCATATCATCCTCCGAAAGTGAAATGTATTTTTCAGGGGAGTGAAAAGCTGATTAATGCTTAACCCTAGGACATTAATTTCTATTACCATCTACTCTGTTGGTCTGAATACAGAATGGTGCAAAATTAAACTCAGATACGCGCCAAAATGCATCACTGCATGTTTGAAGTTTTAAAAGATTTCGGGGGTGGGGGGTGGGGGATGGGGGAGCCAAGAACCTTTCCCACCATACATCCTCATTAGTCACCCTTCCCTTTCACCGATATCCTTAATTAAGCTAGATGGTTAAATGCTGATTGTCTCAACTTATTTGGATCTTGATTGATTAAAAAAATATATATATATATTATCTTGAGAATACAGTTTATTTAGCATAAACTTTGTATAATTAATTCAGTAAAGAAATTGTGCAACTATTATATTGGAGTAATGTCTAGAAATGACCCGCCAAAATAATGAAACTCTAATATATGGGTGCTTGCTACAGTTGGCGTGTGCCAGACAGCAAAAGAGGCGCCCTTCTCATTACTGTTTGCAATTAAATCAACAAAATACTTTTCAAACTATTTTAAAAAAAAAAAACATTAACAACAGTTGTAATGGTGAGATCCAAGTGTGTTCTTTAGTTGGGTAATAAAGCTAGAGACTGCAATCGGGTTAGTACAATGGGAAGTGAGTAAAACAAAATAAGGTTAAACCTGAAAAAAAGGAACGCAAAAATTCAACGAACGTGTCGGCAAGAAGCCTTCGTCAGCGAACAAACAGATAAAACAGAATAAAATTTAAGAAAATAAAAAAAATATAGTGTATGTAGGCCCAATAGAATAAAGTGTTCTTTAGTTAAAGCATTGACTGCGTAAAGGATGACACAGACATTTGTTATTTTGAAGCGGTATTGAACGCTTTCTGTTCATTCTAGGATTCTGATGTTGACAGTGTCACTTTACAGGGAATTACACACAAGAATTACGCTGTTCAGTTATGGTGTTGTCAGGATTTTTACTAATGATGCAATATTGTTAAGTAGATACATAGATTCACTGGTCAATTGAGCCAGAAAACAATGAGCCATCGAACCTTTTTTTAAACTGCAACAATGGAATAATGGAGAGAGACTGCAATAATGGAGTAATGGATAGAGACTGCAATAATGGAGTAATGGAGAGAGACTGCAATAATGGAGTAATGGAGAGAGACTGCAATAATGGAGTAATGGAGAGAGACTGCAATAATGGAGTAATGGAGAGAGACTGCAAGAATGGAGTAATGGAGAGAGACTGCAATAATGGAGTAATGGAGAGAGACTGCAATAATGGAGTAATGGATAGAGACTGCAATAAGGTTAGCAATAACAAAAAAAGGGAATTAATGAAACAAAGTATAGAAAAACCTCAAAAAAATTAACGCAAAAAAAAAAAAAATAAATAAAATAAAACACGAAATGCTGTTCATTTTCCAGGTTTTCACATACTTTGTTTCACTCATGTCCTTTTTCAAACAGTTGTTAACTTGCCCAGTTGGTGATTTAAAAATGTGTGTACAACAAAATTTAGGATTATCGGGTTAGGAACGTCAGAATAAGCATTTTTAAAAATGCGGACATTTAATACACATTAATTTTTGTTCTAGTGCATGCCAGTTTAGTTGTAGACATACCAAGACATATTGTAGCTTTAGCTGTAGACATACCAAGGCATGATGTCCGTTCAGTAATAGACATACCAAGGCATGATCAAACTATAACTTACTCACCTTGTGAATATTCACTTTATAACGAAACAATAAATGGGGCACAAATTATCCAAATGTTGACGAAGAAATTCCCGCAGTCTATACAAAATCTTCTTCAGCAGACATCAACATAAGAAACGTTCTATTCCACTGTAACGACTATGAACTTGTAGACATACTGAGTGTAACGAGAGTTGCACCGTTTCCCTGAATAGCCTTGATAGTTTTTTGCTGTAAATAAACGTCTACTCCTTCATTGACGAAGAGAGCGTCCTTGGTTACGTAAATTTCCACAGTGAATACAAGTGTTGTAAACAAGTGTAAATACCAACCAAATGTTCAAGTCCAGTCGCTTCTTTTAGTCCTCATACCAGCCGATCAACTGATCAAAACACATTTTCCCCTTTAACGAGGAGTTCCAACAATATATTCCTGCACGTTTCGTTTAACAGCGGTTCTCAAAAACTAGGCGTGTTATTGTAAAATAATCATAAGAGCTTTAAGGATCGAAAAACTGTTATTAGATTTCTTAGGGCCTGTGGGTGGTGCCAAAAGGCGTCAGCTAATCACATGCCTATAAAACTAATTAATTTTTTTTTAAATAAATCAATCATAAAATGTTATTGAACAATGAGAATTTTGTAAAGGTATAACCTGTTGTTTATTTATTTTTTTTTTTTTTTAAGTAGGACCCCTATGTATGAAACTCCTAACAAAGGAAAGTTCACAATGAATGGCATGTGCTATGAACACAGCCAGAATGCCTGCAAATTAGAATCAGATTTTAACTAAGAAAATGTCGGGTTACTTGGAGGTATACATTTATGCATTTATTAATTTTTTTTTTGTGAAAACGGGGACGCTTAATGTGAGGACCACTGGTGTAAACTTGTTATGCGTAGGGAGGCCTAGAACTGAAGTCATCTGTTATTTGGAGGCGCGCCCTTTATAAATATAATCCGCCGTGTATAGTCAGGTACTCTGTTAGGCAGACGTGATCCCTCATACCTTTAATTCCACCCAGGTAACCGCGCCAGCCCAGCCCAAGTAGGGTTGGGTCCTTGAATGATAAGGGAGGGGTGAAATATGAATGGCGTGTAGACTTGAACTTTACTACAGTCACGGTACGAGAGGTCTGCTCCACATGGTCGGATACAATTAGGAATACATCGTCATCAGTTTGCATCGCAACTTCTTCACTACCTCTAGGTGGAGCCCAACAAAATATGGCAACTGTAACAAAGACACGTTACCAAGAATTAAGTCTTCCGATAACACGATAGTGCTAAAAAACTTCTATGTGTCCCTCTCTTCGACCAAGGACGCCCCTGTGTCCCTCTCTTCGACCTAGGACGCCCCTGTGTCCCTCTCTTCGACCTAGGTCGCCCCTGTGTCCCTCTCTTCGACCTAGGACGCCCCTGTGTCCCTCTCTTCGACCTAGGACGCCCCTGTGTCCCTCTCTTCGACCTAGGACGCCTCTGTATCCCTCTCTTCGACCTATGACGCCCCTGTGTCCCTCTCTTCGACCTATGACGCCCCTGTGTCCCTCTCTTCGACCTAGGATGCCCCTGCCCGTACAATGAAACCCTTCTTCGTACAGTGATGCCCATCTGCCTACTATGACGTATTTCTCCGTAAAATGACATCCCTCTCCTTGCTAAGCCGCCCGCTTTCCGTCTTGGGCACCCCTTTCCAGTGGCGTAGCGAGGGTTTTTGGCGCCCGGGGACAAGATTCGCGCCCGGGGACAAGATCCATTTTTAGCGCCCCTTTTTCTTTTTTTTCAACTCTCAAACCCATTATTTTCATCAATAAAATAATATCAAAGCACATTTTGGTGCCCCTAACTAGCTGGCGCCCGGGGACATCTGTCCCCCCTGCCCCCACCACGCTACGCCTCTGCCCCTTTCAGTACTAGGACACCCCTCTGGGTACAATGAAGCCCCTCTCAATATTAAGCTGCATCCCCCCCCACCCTTTTTTTTATTCAGGTTCCACCTCTGGCTAAAGCAAAAGATCAATTTGAAAAGGTCAATAGCGGCTATTTCAGACATTTCTACAAACTATAGAAAAGTTCTCCTAGCCATAAAATTCGATTGAATGAAAGACGTGCTGTAAATGGTGTACCTTCTTTAACAGCGCCCATTGCAATGTACAAGAGTAACCAGGCCCAATTGGGGTGTACAAGAGTAACCAGGCCCAATTGGGGTGTACAAGAGTAACCAGGCCCAATTGGGGTGTACATCTCATTGGTCCGGGTTAACCCCACATGTTCTCAAACCAGGCCCAATTGGGGTGTACAAGAGTAACCAGGCCCAATTGGGGTGTACAAGAGTAACCAGGCCCAATTGGGGTGTACAAGAGTAACCAGACCCAATTGGGGTGTTTCAATTGAGAACTGAGAATTCATAATTTAGTCACTGAATTTTAACACAAAAAGAAAGAAAAAAAAACACAAAATCCCATTCTGTCCAACCGGCCCTGCCTTTCACACCTTGCCTACCACCCCCTGGCTTTCGCAACCACCCTGTATTCCAGGGGTGGACTGGGGAGCTCAAGCGGCCCGCGGAAAAATCAAAGCGGCCCGGGAAAAAACAACAAAAAGCGGCCCTATCTTCATGACTTTTATTTTTATTATATCACCGGTCCTAGCGGCCCATCGGGAATCTTCCCGGTGTCCCGGCGGCCCAGTCCACCCCTGCTGTATTCCCACCTTTGTAAACCGCCCCCTCCCCGTCTTTCCATACCTTACATACCCCTCTCTACCTTTCCACACCTTACCTACTTCTCTCTACCTTTCCCCACCTTACCTACCCCTCTCTACCTTTCCCTACCTTACCTTCCCCTCTCTACCTTTCCCCACCTTACCTACCCCTCTCTACCTTTCCCTACCTTACCTACCCCTCTCTACCTTTCCCCACATTACCTACTTCTCTCTACCTTTCCCCACCTTACCTACCCCTCTCCACCTTTCCCCACCTTACCTACCCCTCTCTACCTTTCCCTACCTTACCTACCCCTCTCTACCTTTCCCCACCTTACCTAC